CAACAATAGTTAATGAAACCATGACAACATTTAATTGCAAAGCAACTCTTCAATCCAGTCACGCCTTCTCAGAGAAGTATAGCCGATCATTGCAAAACGAGCCTCGCGTACAAAGGAACCAATCTCAATCAGTGAAGCCAAACTCAAAACTAAATATTTTCACTTTTGTGGATCCACAAAAAAAAACAATCACAAAATTGTGGATCCACAAAAATAAAAATTCAGAATTGTGGATCCACAAAACAAAGTTGAAGGCTTACAGTTTAAAATGTGGATCCACAGAAAGTGACATTGACTTTTTGTGGATCCACAAAAAAACCTATTGAATTTTTGTGGATCCACAAAAACTCAAAACAAGATTGCCTCTGGAAAACATATCACATGATCAGCTAATAGGGGGAAACGCGAAGGGTTCCACAACCGCGACCCCCAGCACCGCAGCGAAGAAAGCTGAAGTCTTTAGAACCTATGATGACTCAGGGCGCATGACCAACACCGTAGAAGTGATCAAGGGGCTTGGTTTTGTCGTCGGTCAGAAGGTAGAAAGGCATGACCAAGTGGGCATCATTCGCAGCATCAGTGAAGGTGAAGTTGAGCTGCAGATGGAAGAGCCCACCAAGACGAATGTCTGGGTGAACTCGTCATCGTTCGTGCAGAATGAGTGGAAGATCGCTCATGTCCCCAAGCAACAAGAGGAGGTCCATTGGCTGCCAGATTCGCCGCTGAGATGCGCTGAGTTCAGGCTGATGGCGATGAAGGCGGCAGTCTGCCGTGCAATGGCGGAGCAAATGGAGAAGCGCAAGAACTTTGAGACTCTCCAATTGTGGGCTCATCCCAAGGCTGTCACGGTCACCAGCACCTTCGGCCAGAAGAAGCTTGTGATCCCATGCGTCACCTCCCGCGTACAGTTCATAGAAGCCACGAAGGTGACGGATGACCGTTTGGTGATCGGCATTTTTGGCCATATGTCAGTGGTGCTCACAGGCATGAACAAAGTAGGCAAGATTCCTGGTGAGGGATTCCAATGTCCCTTTTGGTTCATTCCCCGCACTTCCGAATCAGATGATGCGAACATGGAGGCGAGCCGGTTTGAAGTCGTGAACCTTTGATCTGGAATTTACGCATATATGGCATTGGTATACATTAACAGGTAATAGTTATAAACAAACCACAATCAAACGATACCACTATCACTAGAGTGATTTACGATCATGTTCAATACATTTCCATATACTCTTGAGCCAAGAAATGTGATGGAACCACGGGGTGAACCTATATATAGTCCATGCAAATACAAACCCAACAGGTCTGGCCAAGCGTCGATGACATGAAGAAGCGGACGTTGGCTTTGGACAAGCCAATCAGTTTGCCACAGCTCCGCAACACGACGTCATTGAAGAATGGCGATGAGCTCTTCGTCTACGCGGCCAAAAAGACCCTGACTGTAGATGAGGCACCACTGAGAGATCGACCCGCGAAAAGAATTCGCCACTGAGGGGGGCGCCGCACAGGGGACTCATCATACAGCTCAGACATGTTCAGACATGTTTACGTTTATTTGGTTTTTCTGTTTCATTCCTCGACGCTATCTGCGGGAGTTGCTCCCGGTACCTGAAAGGAATGAAACTTTGGTGGTTTTAGTCCCTGCAGGCGCCCCTCCGTGTGAACTTCTCAGTACGATCCGTGGCCCAGCCACGCACTTTGAAGCTGAATGCAGTGTAGTGCCAGCTCGAGACCACATGCATCACACCTTTCTTATTGTGTATCGTTTCAACCTTCGAACTGTATGACGGAGTACATGTATATATATTTCGTAATGCTCCTGGCACGGAGAACATGGATATATACAGTATATATATATATATATGGGCAGGCATGATGGACTGCAGGAGAGCAACACACGACAAAAACACAGTGTACTGGGCGCGTCCAACAACGTGGCTTCAACAGTTTTCCAGTTTGTCGTTGCCTTGTATATATAGGAGTCAGTCCATGCCCACTGGCTGCCGTAGCCGTTTGTGCCTGTAGGGAGTTACTCCTGGCCACAGACTGCAGTGGCCGTTTGTAGGCTTGCTTGCCTGCAGGGAGTCACTATAGGCCACTGGCTGCAGTATCATGGATGACTCTGCCTTACAGGACGCCAGGGATGATGATGATGATGACGAAGGCCCAGTCCAGCTGTCCATCGACCGTGTGACCCGAGTGAGCTTGGGTAAGCTCAAGTGGTTTCCAGAAACCCATGAGTTTGAGGGCAAAACCTATGCCAGCCTTTCGCGATTTGATCCCCAATTGGTCAAGGTCATCACTGGCAAAGGCATGAACAGACACGCCAAAAGAAGAGTATGGGGATTGGATGTCCAATGGTGGGCGGCTACTAGACAATTGAGACCTTCATTGTTTGTTTCAGCACCTTTTGTGTTTTTGACACCAACTTATATGGAACACACATAGTTTGGAATAGTTTGGAAACCTAGTTGGACGTTAGGACATGATGCCTGCGCAGCCCTTTTGCGCAAGCATATCCTCTCCGGCGTGCAGGAAGGGGAGCCCCAACCAAAGCTTCGACCGGCCAGGGAAGATGACAAGTTCATCGTCAGCCGAGATGTTGTAGTGTCTCTGCTGGAGTTTGAGCACGACAACGAAGTCTTTGGGCCGCTGGAGTGCAGGATGCTTTGGAGTGTAAAAGCCAAAGAGGTGCATGTCGAGCTGACAGAGGCGAACCTCCGGTATGTTTTCGCGGCGCTCCAGCACTCGCCGCCTGCTGAAAAGAAGATTGAAAAGAAGAGCAAAGGTGAAGGCTGTGTAGCTGCGTCGCCGAAAAGGAAACGACGCAAATTAAAGAAGAGACCTAGTCAGGCTAGTCAGGATGATCCAGAGCAACCCTCTGAGCCTGGCGCTGCTTCTCTTGGTGCCTAATGACAGGCTGCTCCCTGCGCCAATGGCACGAAACAGTGTTGGAGAGTGAGACTGGTGTGCGCTAAGTCTGTTTGACTTTGAGAAAGCCTGTTGGAGTGTGAGAATGTTGTGCATTAAGCTTGATGGAACATGTTGATGTATGTAACTACAACGCCATCGCAAATTGTTCGGACAAACGTGTTTCCCACCATGGACATGGAACCTTCAACCGAAGCCGTGTTGAGTAGGGTAGGCACAGTGAGTTCCACGGGTTTCCCACCATGGACTTTGCACCTTCAACCATATCATATGACCAGAAGGTCAAGGTGATGGCTATTATGGCCGAAGCCATTTGCCTTTTGAAGGTGGCGATGAAGCAAGTTGAAGACCTAGAGGTCACGCTGTGGCAGATCTTGGAGATGCCGGACCCATGGATGGGCCCACCGCCGGACAAGCGCTCCATGGAGTCCGCAGAAGCCCATGACTCCTTTGCCAAACGGCGCCGGATTCGGTTGGGTGGGAGTGATGAAACTTTGGTCTTGGGGCAAACAGGGACATCTTCAACGGCTGTCGATGATCCAATCTCCCAGTTCCCAGCAACGTTTGTCCCGGAGTAGCTCCTATATAGGCCGGATAGGAGTTCCCCTGGCTTGCAAAGCCTGGCGCCGATTGGAGCTTGCTCCTGGCCCCGTTCGGTACCTGGCGAATGCAGTCTGTAGGAGTTGCTCCTGGCGAATGTAGCCTCTTCCTCGTGTGGACAAAAAAGGAGTGATGTTGCTTCACATGTACCTTTTCCTAAACAATCACTGTTTGAGCTGACGCGTTGCGAGCGTTCTGCTATATAATGCTGATACTTATAGAGCATGTTTGGAGCATCATAGTTTGATTGACAGCGGAGTTAGATGACTATCAACGTATGGAACCAGACATCACACTTGGATAAGATCAGGAATCTGAAAGATAAAGACATTGCTTTGTGGAGCCACATTTTGTGTACTTCATTTTGGACTATATGACAGTTTGTGCGTGTGAGGCCCTATTGCCACAACGGCCGCTGGCTTACACAGATCAGGCGGGAATGTGTTTGGAGTCGACTTGATGTGTTTGGAGCCACCTTGATGCGCTACGCTTTACTGTGTGTTGGGGGGGAGGACGCGTGCGCTGAGGAGTTCGCGAGACACATGCGCACGTGAACATGAGCAAACACGTCGAAAACTCAAGTGGACACGACATAAGCACAACTCACAAGAAACTGCCAAAGGCTTACGCATCTTTTTCTCGCAAGGGTGGTAAGGTCCTGCACTGTCTTTGGAAGCCACGAAATGCTCACGAATGCGTCTGGGAATCGAAGCTCGGCACTCTCATGTGGAAACAAATGCAACCAAATCGCAAAAGAGGAATCCCAACAGAGCCCCCACTTTAGAGAGATTCCTATTAGATTTGGACAGCAGGACCCCAGAATCACCAGGGAGACTTATCAACCTTTTTATTAACCTTGTGCTTAGGGGTGCTGGCTCTTGCAAGCCGGGCCCGTTCCTTCAACTCGTCAAACTCACGCTTGGTCTCCCACAGGGCGAAGACCATGGAGAGGTCAAGATCGGAAAAAGTCACTGGTACCCTGAGCTCCAAGTCAAAAGCATCGAAAACCTCGTTGGTGAGGCTATCTGCTTCTTCGTTCTCCTCCCTTGGCCTCCACCTCAGGTCTAACGAAAGTCTCGCCTTAGCGATGGCAGACGAGAGCTGCGTGTTTATTCCCATGAGGGGCCACTTTGTCGTCGTGCGTTTGGTCGACAGGACGTCGTTGGCCCGATTATCTGTGCCTGCTGCCAAGACCAGGGGGACTGACTTGCGATGCTTCCCCTGGGTGATCCAGCCAAATGCACCAAGGGCGACTAACGAAGCCAAAAGCTCTGCTGAGGTTGATGCCCACATTGCCCCCTTTCCCTCCTGGAAAAGGAAAGGGACCTCATGCGGTGTTAGTCTAAGTGAGAACCACCTCCTAGTACTGAGTTCCCAACCCCCCCCAAAACCACAAAGTCCTCCGTGCGCTTAGCATCAGTCCTAAAGATTTCATGGGAGGTTATAATGGGTCTATTAACAGAGACTAAGAAGGTTTCACCTTTAAACTCAAGGTCAATATACTTCAAGGTAAGAATCACAGTATCCGGCAGCTTCCCAACCGTGCCTGGAGCCACGACCGCGGCCCATGCGAACAATGGAGACAAGTGCGGTTTCAGCCACGTAAGCAACTGTGAGACAAATCCGAGACGACCCAAGAACTCAATGAAAGACCTGCCAACCACGACAAAGCGATCAGTCGTCGCCTTTGTGATCCATTCAAGAAGCCAACGACCCCTCTTCTCCGAGATGCCAACCTCGGCAAGATCGTACCTCAAGTTGAATCCTACGAACTCCGATGCAAAGCCACCATGGAACTTATGATATCCGAAAGGCACACCTACGAGTTCAAAGGCGAGCAGCCACACCCAGATGAGCCAAAACTTATGTTGTCCAATAAAGGCACCGTGCAAGTCGTCAACGTAAATCATGTGCAAGAGCCAATTGTCCTGCATGCAATACATCACGAAGCGCCCAATCAGGCCGCACAACTTTGACCACCAGAAAGGTGCACTAGAGATCCCAAACGTCCCAACCTGATTGACCCACACTGTTTCAGAAGACGAGTCGACCCTGCAACACATGTAACCCCAATCGGCCTTACGGATTTTCACGAGACGGTGGGCTGCCTTTATGTCAGCGGAGACGCAGAAAGGTGCCTCCCTGGACTCGACCGAAGTGCGAACCACTGCTGCGATCTCCCCTGGACCGGGGCACTCAAGCTGGTCTTGGTACCGAATAACGTTGTTCACCCTCACGGAATGAGTCCCGTCGTGCAAGGGGCGCACACTGCCGTCCGGTTTCTTGATCGCTGCCATTGATGCAACCCTCAACTTATCACCATACTGCTCACGAAGCACACCCAGCTTAGATGGGAACATCCGGCCCAGTGCCTCCTCTTCTCGAAACTTGGCTTCAAGTTCTGAAGAAGACATGTCAGCCGATGCATAGTTCTGTGCAATGGGGGAAAACTCTGACTCGTCCAACTTGCGGCGCTTGACCTTTGGAGGGCAAACCTGGGGAGACCGAGGAAGGGGCTTTTCGACCCCAAGGCAAACGCCTGAGGCCAACGAATCCTCCACATCCACAAGCCATTTCGCATCAGGGTCCTCAAACACCCCGAGCCACTGAGCAAGACCCCTCAGGAGGAAGGGCTGCCCTTGATCCACCACAAGTGCATCCCCCGGATCCGAGAGAAGCTCTGCCCACTTGCTGCGAAGAGGCGTCAACACTTCAGCAGGAAAAGGGGATTGCGTCAGCTTGCCCGTCACAAGCCGGAAAGCTTCCTTCCTGGGGTCCTGTATGACTTGGCGAACCGTGTCACTAAGAAGATCGAAGGTGGCAGCAGCCAATCTTTTCATCTCCTCAGAACGCCTCTCGCCCCGTGCCTTTGGGGGCCACCTCCCAGGACTACAAAGACCAAAGCCATCAACAAACTCCCTACACTTACCCCCCCATTCAACCGACATGGGACGACCCCTATTCAAGCAAGATTCCAAGTCGAATTCGTCGCCATCTTCTTGGGAAACCTGGTTTAATGGGGTCAGAGAAGAGTCGTCCTCACCCGTCAGATCAAGAACTTCAACTTGTTTCAAAAGCTTCGGAACTTTTGAGGGTGGTTGTGATTCCTGCTGAGGTGGGTCCCTGACAACCACCTTAGGACAAACACGTGTTGCGGTGGCAGGCCGAGACTTGGTGCCCCCTCCGGAGGCTGCATGTGCAGACAAGACGAGGCCAGCCAAAAACTCGCAAAGCAAAGGTGGGTATGAAGCCGAAGGACCGGTATTCCAAGTGCCCTTAGACTTACCGATCAACTTGCGAGCATGAACATGACCACAATCCCTGGGCAACGGGCCTTTATAGAATCCTAACTTATCAAAACGAGGCAACGTCTGCAAGCATCTGGGATCCTGTGTATGCATTGTGGTCAAGAACCGTGTGGGTTTGGGGGTGTCAGCACCAAAATGGCACTGATGAATCGCAAAGCACTGTGCAATAGTGGATGCAATGAGTTCACGAATCTCAGGCCACTGCCAAACGGAACCGGGGTGCTCCCCGTGCACGACGCCCAAATCCTCTGGGTGCTCGAAGAGGAAGTGACCTGCGGATGCACGGCAAATCTGACAAGCTTCAATGCACCGATCAACAAAACGATTAGCTTCCTAGACTATGAGTGAATTCGAATTGCTAAGCCACGGAAAACCCCTAGGCCAGGTCTTGCTGCGAAGAGGTCTAGGGCCTGGGTGTAGCCTATACTGAAAGCGTGCTCTGCTGAAAGAATTGCACGGCGGAGAAACGATCAAAATCCAATTGCCTTCTCGAAGTAATGCAAAAAGGGAATCCCAGAGTGCATCATCGGTCAAATCATGTTCACTCGACCGCTCAATGTCCAACTCTCTGAGCTCCAAACGGATCAAACCCTGCTCCTCAGCTTTCCTCAGGAAAGAGCCAATGTCAGAGTGGCGGCGCTTGCCAGCAAAAAGATACATGACCTTCAAGACAGGAACAGCACGGCAATGCGACGCGTCGCTCGAATCAAGAGTCGATGCGGCATGCACTGAAGGCTCCGAAGCGCTGGCTTTCGACGGGGCCTGAATTTGTCAACCCTTTTTCTCTTTGTGATCAATGGCCATATGCTCTTGATAGCAACCCTTCACACGGCAGGCATGGACCCTATTGCAACCCCCATCACAATGTCCATTATTCCATGCAAAACACAATTCACGATTATCAGGGGTCCTCCAAGCGAGTGACAACCCGGCTAAACGAGAGTCCTGCTGCTTGCGTTTGCCCTTTCCTTTCTTTCCTTTCCCTTTGCCCTTGTCAGTTTGGTAACCCTTCGAATACGCACCTTTCCAAAAGGGGCGGGCAAACTTGTTTGGCGGAGTCTCAAAGGAAGCATGAGCTGCCTTCAATGCCACGGGTGTTGTGAAGAATGCTTCTTTGAGGTCGGCGTCGCGAATGACAGCATGCAACGCGTCGGCCAATGTGTGGCCTTGGTTGACTACCAACTTCATGGCCTCCCGGCGCAATTTGTGCTCGTACGCAAGAATGATAGTCCAATCAGGCTTGACCTTCTGCTGCTGCTCAGGTGATGAGGTCGGGATCTGTATATTCAAGACACGCTCTCCAAGAATATACTCTACGAACTTAGTGAAAGGTTCGGCGGTCAAACCATGCAGCCAATGCTTGGATCTATACCTAGAGGCCATGGAAAGCCAAGCATACATCTCTACCTTCATCACTTTACGATACTCTTCGGTGTTGGCAGGCATCTTGGATTTACTTTTCATGCGAGTGACACGAATGAGACCTGTCGAGTCAACTGCGGATTGAAGCTGGGAGACAGATGATGCCTGCTTGCTGATGATCTCATCTAAGGGCGAGGCAGTCGGCTCGTTCGCCTCGGTTTCCTCAGCTTTGAGTGAAAGATAGTCCGGAGCAGGGCATTCCGATTCACCAAGTGAACCATAGACTGCCTCCACAGCCTTCAGCATCGCCTGCCTCTCGTGAATCTGAAGAATGCGAGGCTGTCCCAACACCTTCGCCTCCGCTCTGAGCTCCACCTCCTTTGCAAGAAACTCCTTAGCAATCTCCCAAGAGGAAACAACGGCGGCAGTCTCAGCTCTACCTTGGGGTGTGTCCTGAGGAATCGCGAAATCATGCAGGCAAGCGGTCCGAATCGCCGCACGGTCGTCGGCCAAGGCTGAGAACTTTCTCAAGGTCCCATACCTCCTGGCAATTGCCGCCTGATGCCCAATGCTCACTCCGGAATCCCCCAGGATGAATTGAAGATCAGAATCCATGTTCTGGGAGACAAACTCCCTATTCACAGCATCCGGATCGCCAGCCATCGCCCCGACGCCGGTGGGCCAAAACCCGAAACTCAAATGTGAAGTGAAGAGGGGATCAAAAACAAGGGTTCACATTGGAAGTCACCCCAATCTCAATCGACCTAAGGAGAAAGAGGCGTCCAAACGACCTCAAATAACACGTCACCACGTGGCAAGGGTGTCCAAACAACCCTGACTTTCAATCAATGGCTTAGGTCCTCACCTGAGCCCCATCTCACGGTCCAAACCGTCAATCTCAATCCCAAGATAATCGGGTGCAAACTCTCGGAAGAGTCTTCAACATACATCACAGAAAAACATGAAATGAACAGCCAAGGACATACAAAGGGCGCGCATAAGCTTTCTTATGCGCGCCCTGTGTGGCCTCTCAACCTGTCTTGGTAGAAGTGAAAACCCAGAAACGAAAGAAAGAGAAAACAAAAGAGACAAAGCGCAGCCAAACTCACGAGATCTTTTCACACCATACATCGGGCCTGTCGTCAAGGCACATGCCAGCATAGTCCAATATGCCGGGCTCAATGGCATCAGCCACTTCGGAAGCTCATCGAACCACACACGAAAAGAAACAAGAATGCACATCAGCTCACATGGGACTCAAACGGATTCAGAGGGGCCACCACGAAACATAAGGCTCTAGCTCGAATCCGTCGAGGTGGATGAAGCAGTCGAACTCGATTCCTGATGATCCTTGCCACTCTCAGCGAGCATGCGCCTTTTGCAAGATCTACAAATGGAATCAAAATCACCCGAATCAACTGCATCAAGATACAAAACCTCAAGGCACCGGCTGGGCTTGACGTGGCAACCTGACATGTGGAGTCGCTTCAAGCCTGCCCTCCGGGACACGATGACAAAATATTTTGACTGCTTCTCAACAAGTGAAAGTTCTTTCTGAGCAATACGATCGACAGACTCCTCGTGGTCTTCGTCCAAGAAATCGCTCACCAATTCGGCGTCCCTGGCTTCAACCTCCAATGCTGGATACACACCTCCAAGGCAATTCCTCCCAGAAACAATGCTCAACACCCTGTGTCGCTTAGCAATCCTAGAAGGATTAGCCCCTTGGTCCTCGGCAAATTTGCAAAGCTTGACAATCAATTCGTCCTCAAAGAATTCTTCAGGACCCCCTTCAATCAAAGTCCTATTCACAGCACGCTGGATCTTGAAGACGACTTGACGTGAAGTCCTCACGTACTCTTCAGCCGAAACTGTGCCCATCGACCACCTTCCCAAGAAAGCTCTCTCATCCCTGGAAAAACCAATGACTGCAGCAACCGAAGTCATGAAGTTCCGTGGCGAATGCCCAGTGAAGAACTTCTCCAACCCATCAGGCAAGAGAAGTTGGTTTGGGGTCACGTCCCAACTCTGAAAGACCGCCTTCGGTGTCCCCAACTGGGACAACAAGCAAGAGATGAGTGAAGCCAGGCCTGAAGGTGGCACGTACTTCCTGCGAACTCCGTCCCAAAACCTAGTTGGCTCCATCACCAAATAATCACGCTTGAAATTGAAAGGATCTTCCTCCCAAATGTCCATGCCCACACGAAGCCAATCCCGTCCAGTCAGAGACACAGTCCTCAAGATGTGAACAACCAATTCCTTTTGCGGCTTGTCGGGACCAGAAGTCTTACTTCTCCCAAGAGTGAGGCTCAGCCCAAAATTCGAAAGGATCATACGATGCGGTAGAATGGACTGAACATCATCGCAACGCATTGCCCCCCAAACCATGCAGAGGACCACCCAAGCTAATGCCCTGGCAAAAATGGCAGCCTCCTCATCAGTGACTAATGCCTCCAAAGAAATCAACATGGCCACAGTGTACATCTCAGCTGGTTTCCTTGGGGGTGCATCCACCCCCAACTCAGCAACCCATGACTTGACATGGCCCTTCCACAAAGCATCTTCTGACAATCGAGAATCTTCCGGGACACGACCAAGTTGCTCAAGCATTGATAAAGCCACCGAAAACGATTCAGGCACGGTTCGACCACAGCCCTCGTCAACCCGATGTTGCATATAGTCAATGACATCCCTGATGCTCTTAGGAAACTTGTACCCCCTATGAAGTTCAAGCCAAATCTCAAAAGGATGCCAGACCTTGTAGCGATTCTTGAGGGTATTCCCACGCCTTGCAGCAAAGAGATGAATCCAACCTGTACGAGGGTCCTCAAGCGTCTGAACAAGTGGAACGACAGGAAGGCTAGCATCAATGATCACCTGTGCCAAAAGGAGACTGTACTTCTTCCGCTCAGCGTCAAATTGTTTCGACCTGATATCCGGAGGCTCCTCCTTGTGTTTTCTCTGTGCCTTCTTGGCATGAAGCTCAAGTAAAATCAAAGGACTCGTCTGTGAAATCTGTTTGAATGCGCTCTGAACGGAGACTTGAGATTCAAGTGGCAAACCAAACAACGCTTTCTCTGCAACTGACTTCCGAGCCCGCTTCAAATCCCGAGAAGCCCCAGCCTTCCAAAGCATGATCTCTGCAGCGATATTGCAGGCCGTCTCCTCGACCATATCCGGAAATCCTTGTGAAATCAATTCAGCACACTCAACATCTGAATCGAAAGCTGCATCAAAGTGGAGAGGCGTCCCAAACGTCCTTTTCAAGAAACTCAACACGGCCCCATCGACCGTGGGCCAATCCATGGCCGCCCACCGTCCAATCCATATTGGATTGCAACGCGCCCCCCACCTAACTCAAAAAGAGATCATGCTAAAGCCAGTCCACGAAATGCCATATACTGATTTGAACACCATTCAAGGAATCCAAAAGCAAGCTCCAAGAGAACAAGTGCAAAATTACTTAGGCATCGAATGAATGCAAGTTTTGATTGACATCTGATCAAGTGACACAAACTGAAATCGACAGCCGATAAATTTTTTCTGCGCAAGTAACTCTTTTTTTCCGTAAGTTTTTCGGAGACCGCGCACAAGTCATCCACACAGACCTCATTCCATGGGAAGGCCCCAAAGCAAACGTGTGACAAACTGACACACACCGAGTGCAGCAAGGAGGTTCAGACCCCACAAGGTAACAAAACCCCACCCGCCCACCCAACCAACACACAGCACCGCATAGTCCCACGGGGCGCGCCCAGTGGAGCCTTTGAATTGATCGCGTTGCGCAGTTCGTGGGTAATTGATTGTGTCCATGTGTTGTCTCATTTATCGTTTGTCGAATGCCATTGTGTTCAGACATGTCCGACAGCGTGGCTTCCACAATGTTTGCAACTCTTTTCCGCAGCCTGGGCTCCACAGCCCGGACGATGTTTTGCTCCTGGGCACTGGCTTTGCCTGTTGCCGGTTGAGCTGCTCCTGGTCCCCTTTGTCTGTGCCTGTGCCGGCACAGACTTGCTCCTGGTACTTGGCTGCTTGCCTTGTACCGTTAGGAGTTGCTCCTGGTACTTGGCTGCTTGCCTTGTACCGCGCGGAGTCGCTCCTGGTACCGGTGCTTGGCTGCTTGCCTTGTACCGTTAGGAGTTGCTCCTGGTACTTGGCTGCTTGCCTTGTACCGCGCGGAGTCGCTCCTGGTACCGGTGCTTGGCCGCTTGCCTTGCACCGTCAGGAGTCGCTTCTGGTACTTGGCTGATTGCCTTGTGCCGGCTGGAGCCATGGCGGACGCTTCCTCGTGCGACGTTTTGATGGTGCAGGCGGAGGCTGAGCCTGACCCTGAGCTGCCCACCTTTGCGGGTGGCAAGAGCGGTCCCGACGTGCCAGACAAAAGGTGCCCCTTGTGCGGCTACTCGAACCCGAACATCTCGCACTACTGCTATATCCAGGGGTCAAGGATTGCAACCCTTGTGGACCCTGATTTCAAGACGGCAATGCCCCACATGGAGAACGTGTCAGACCTGGCGGATACGCAACCTTGCCAATTTGTATGCTACAAGTGTGCTGGGAGGGCCGCGAACGAGCACTACGAGCACCCAACAAGAGATGGCCCCAGCTGCAAGTTCAAGAAGCTCTCATTGCGCTGCCTGAAGTCCAAGGCAGATGATTTCACAGTGCGCCAATCTCTTCAGAAGGTGGAGCACTCTTTCGACAAGACTGTCAGCCAACAGGTGCTGGTCACCATGGAGGGATTGCGCGACACCCGCATCAAACGCGGGTCGGACTGGGTCACCCAGCTGTCGTCCCAGAAGACCTGGGTGTGCGACATCCAGCTGCTGTACGGCTGCGGCACCTGTGGGCTTCTGCCCTTGCGGTCAGGGTCGTGGTTCTTGATGCGCAACCCCAATGAGAGGGAGTTCTGGGCCTGTGGCCAGTGCGGGGAGCGGTACTTGAATGGCTCCAGTCCGCAGTACCTGATCCTGAAGCTGGATGATGATCACGACCCCATGGTATTCAGGGTCGGCCAGATCATGCCCCGGCTGGAGAATGAGATCAAGATTTTGCAGATGGCACAGATCTTCACGAAGCTGGACATGTCAAAGGAGAACTTCACAGATGAAGATGTCATCTCAGCCATTTGTGCTGTGGCCGACATAGCCACTGACCGGATGCGGGCCTACTTGCAGGTGCAGTACTTCACTGCCAAAGCCCCAACGAAGTACCCCCACGCAAAGATGATCTGCCAGCATGAGGAGCTGAGCATTCCGGGCCCGGGCAGGCAGTTTCCCGGCTTTCAGGTCACCCGCGACGTCCCTATCCTGGACTATGGATCAGTGGCCCACATTGTGTACCTGGCGGCTTCGACCATTGATCTGACCATCGTGAACCCGGGCATCCTGGGCAAGAATCAGAAGAAATATTGGCAGAACCTGCTGATTGAGGTCCGAAAGGAGCAGGATAAGATGCGCACTTCCAAGATGTGAAGATTCGGTTGACTTGGTGTTACTACTGTAACATGTTTCAATAATTGTGTTGATGCAACTCATTTCATCAACCTATAGACTTGAGATGTGTGAGAAACCAGATGTTTATGGCAGATCACTCAAAACCGGATCTTTATGTCCTTGGCACGGAGGGGACGCCGTACAGGGGACGCATCATACAGCTCAGACATGTTCAGACATGTTTACGTTTATTTGGTTTTTCCGTTTCATTCCTCGACGCTATCTGCGGGAGTTGCTCCCGGTACCTGAAAGGAATGAAACTTTGGTGGTTTTAGTCCCATGCGCCCCTCGTGCGAAATCCGTGGCCCAGCCGCCAGCCACGCACTTTGGAATCTTTGGAGCTGACTGCAGGGTAGTGCCAGCTCGAGACAACATGAACCTAGATTCGAGACCACATGCATCACAACTGTATTGTGTTTTGTTTCAACCTGGCAAATTAGAAGAAACATGTATATTTTGTAATGCTCCTGGCACGGAGAGTATGAGGGCTGGCATGAGGAACTGCAGGAGAGCACCCAACAAAAACAATGTGTATTGGTTCGATTTGCACAGGGTATAGGAGGATATGTTGTTAAAGGTCGGTGACCATGTTTCATTGTGTACATCCAGTTCCTTTGAAGACATTGTGTGCTGCAGGCCATACCTTGGAAGAGCTTGAGGCGCAACCTAGCCGAGTGGTTTATAGACTTGAGACGTGTGAGACGACTATGATTACGACTATGTTGAATGGGAAAGCTGAAAATCTAGGTTCTGAGTGCTATCTATTTGAGTTGTGTTGCAGAAAAAACTCATTGGTTGGCAATTGCTGAAACAAGTCTAAATGAAAATTGATGCAATGGTACTGTATTTTTTCAACTGAAAAGTTCAGTGAATGTTAGCAAATCAATTTAAATGCATTGGTAATGTCAAAGGTTCAAAAAAAAATGGGCAACCCATTCACTTGGGATGGTGATCCCCAGCCCCAACTCCACCAACACCTCACGGCACGCATCCTCCATCTTCACATGAGCCCTGCTCTTCTTGTCCAAAATGACAGCCACGAGATGCACCTCCAGGTGGCCCACTGCATGCTGGAGTGTTAAAGGATCTGCGCCGGCTGCCAACGAAGTGAACTGGTCCACCATAGCGATCGCCGTTGCTGCTCGGCCCAAGAACCCTTTGTTGCTCATGGCCTTCTTTGCCTTAGGCAAGCATAGTTGAAACATATACGTATATTACAATATATAGTCGTTCACTGCCACTGTGTGTGTGTGAAACATCTCACCTATCATTATAACTATATATTCATCAACGTTATCACCATCATCAGCGTCATCATAGCTGTTCTGCACTGATCTTCCCTGAACGTTTATCTGTTATTTTTTGTTTCAATCCTCGACCTGTCTGCCGAAAGGAGTTATACTCCTGGCAGCTCATCCTGGAATCCATCGCAAAGAAAGAAGATGAGTGGCAGTTGCTGCAAAAACCACGGCCATTATCCAGAACAAAACGAAGCTTGGTGAGACGGTGACGTGGCCGGACGTGGCTGAGTCGGTTTTGAAGAGTCGACCGAAGTGCGCACCAATCAAGTGGTCCCTCGAGCTGTCGCGTCATTTTACGATTTGGAGACTACAGGCTGGAGCAGGTATAGAGTTGATAATCTTCGGACGAACTTCCACCATGGTGCTTGCGTCCGGAATGGCAGCCCATCCTGCTTTGAATGCATAAATATAACACATGTATATTCACTTTGGCAGCCCATCTCAGCTGGTCATCATGGTCACAACTGCATGCAGTCTGTGTAAAAGCAGCGACCGAGGTGTCTTCAACGAAGTGGGGTCTAGCGTAGCAGTGTCGTCGCAGTCGTTCAACAGCCAGGAGAGACTCCTATCAGCTGTTGTTACAAAAGCTGCCACTGCCGATTGGCTGTTGATCGACTGATCGAAGCACTGGTATATAAATATATATATATAGTGTCAGAAACTGTGCGGACCTGGTCTTCAGCGAAGTGGGGGCAAAGTGCATCCCCACTGATCGAAGCACTGACCTGACATTGTCAAGTATCCTCGTCATGTGTTATGTCAGTAGACCTTGCATTGAAGAACAGCTGCTTGAAGGTCTACTGACAGCGTGAACAAGATCCACGATGCTTTTGAAATTTGGGTGGATTTGGAAGAGGAAGGCTTTCAACGAAGTGGGATCCAGTGGATCTGTTTGTTACAACAAGCTTCAATTCTCTGATGCTACCAGGAGTGACTCCTCTCAGTTGAGCTACTCCATGGCACAGTCTCACACGGAATCAGGATCGAAGTGATGTTGAAGCCGAGCAGCAGTATACAACACACCGCATGACATAATTGACACGGAAGTTCATGCTGGGCATCTGTGTCCGCCCTTTGGTCAATGGTGGTGTCCGCCCTCTTCCGTGGGCCATGTAGCATTTCTATGCGTTTGTCTCCCAGGTCTGTCACTGGCGTCCCTAACTTCCAGACCACGTCCAGAAAACCCTGTAAAGCTAAGATTGTCGACACGCATGTAGAATGAACTTGGCACACTACTTATAAATATATAGCACGTTGGACCTGCTGTGAAGCGCACATGAGGTATACTTTATATTTTTGTAGCATCCATGCAAGTTGCATCCGACGATGAGATTGGGCGTTCTGGGAAACAATACCCAAATTTCACCAACATGTGTCTCCAGCGAAGGTGGTCTTTGAAGCCCTTGAGCTCGAAACTCAACGCCGCCCACACTTTATCCCCGAGTTCTCGGGAAGTTTGTCCGAAGATTCTCACATAGGCCTCTACCTGCTCCAGCCTGTAGTCTCCATA